CTAACCGACAAAATGGAGTCGAAAAAAATATTTCGAAATTCCTTTGTGTCCTGAATTTAATAAGCTTAGTTGCATGTTTGTGCCGTGGAGACAAAATTTCGTTGGCAATTAGATATGGTTCGGTTTAAATGTTTTGGAGTTTTTGTGGTTTTATTGGTTTAATGAGTTTTATGGGAAAGTGTTATGTTTAGAGAGAAACATGATGTGAGATTGTTGGTATTTAAGAAGGGTGATGACGGATTCTTCGTACCAATCTAAAATAAGTTGGAGTGAGGGCAAAATAGAACTAAGGCCACAGCGTAAATCAAATTTATTTACATCTTCTATCTCTCAAGGTTGGAATGACTACTGATCTCTCTCCGGGTAGAACTAGACCGAAGACGATATTAATAACTTACTAGAATCACTTTTTCTCCCCATCAATTGAGCTCCCTTGACGTCTGCCCTTCCTGCATAGATCTTCAAGAGACATAGTCTCGCAACTTCGAAACTTTGCATTACCTAAAGCAGGATAGTCGATTATCAAATGGGAAAGCATGCCTTTCTTATCAACGTTCTTACAGTTTCTCCCCACAAAGATAGAGATCTTTCAACATATTGTCCTGTCAGACAATGGCATATCGGAATTACTATTTTTTGGAGATGGAAATAAGATTTCCTTCTCAATCGGGACCAGCTGTTGTTATTTATTTACAAGTGGCACTTGAGAGCCGCTAACCTTACTTTGTGATCAGATTTTGAGTGTTGATCTGGCCGATAATAGCCGATTTAATAACTTTGCGACATTCGTTTCTTCTTTTTGCTATTTGGGGCTAATTGGAAATACCAAGTACAGCAAGATCCTTCTCTACCTGATCTTTCCAACGGAGTAGAGGTCTTCCTCTTCCTCTGCCTCCACTGGCGGATATTGCATCGAATACTTTCAAAGCTGGAGTATTCGCATCCATTCGGACCACATGACCATGCCAGCGTAGACGCTGCTTCTTGATTCGCTGAACTATATCAATGTCGCCGCATAACTCGTACAGCTCATCGTTCCATCGTCTGTGATATTCGCCGTTGCCAATGAGCAAAGGACCATAAATCTTAAGAAATACCTTTCTTTCTAAAACTCCTAACGCCGACTCATTAGATGTTGTCATCGTCCATGCTTCCGTACCATATAGCAGGACGGGAACGACGAGGGACTTGTAGATTTTCTATTTCATTCGTCGGTAGACGACTTTAGGTTGCAGCCCGATTACAAGTATAGAGGCAAGTAAGTGTCTTCTCTTATCTAGAAACTTGTATAATACTGGTTCCCAGACGTGGACTAGTGCCATTCAAGATTGGTACGTTTATTACGGAACAAGTCCAGATCCAATGACGAGATCAGTGAAACCCTCCATGCCCAAATCTTATGCAGGTAACCCTATTTTTATATGCAACTACTCAGGCAGTGAAAATGTGACCTTTCAACTCCGAATATTTCGGTACCACTTTCACTACAAACTCAAAGCAGCGTTTTATAGATGCGGATGTCGTTGCGTGTGGTTCTAGGAGACTATAAAGCTAAGTACTTTAGTGTTTTCCGTCAACAGCAGCAGCGTTTCCGATAGATCTCTTGAACCTCGATAATGTCTAACAACCTCTATTTTTATTTCGTTAAGAAATAACGGTCTCTTTTTGTCTTAGTTCCTGTTAGTTTCTGATTCAAACTAAGGCAAATTCTACATCAGGTCCCTTACCAGAAGGGAGTAAGGTTCCCCTCATATCATATCTCGTTTCTATGTCATATTTGTCGTTTAGCTAAGGCGTACTTGGTGAAGACAAAACTAAATATTTTCAGTTTCTTGGAACAAATATTCATTTTTGGCCTTTCGCAAGCATAATTCTGACCTATTTTTCATATTCAAATCTCCTCATTCAGCAGAATTCCAAAATCCTAAACAGTTGCTGCTGATTAACCGCCGCCTCCAGCAAACAAGAGCAGAATTGACGTCCAAAATTTAAATTGAGACAAAGAAATGTGCAACAAGACTAAGCCTTTTTTACTGTTTTTATTGTGCAAATTACGTCACTTATGTTGCTACGCACAGCCTGATTGCTTGATTATGAAGTCAATGAATTCATCCTTCACGTATCCACTTAACCATTTCATGCATTCATAAATCCACATCACTGACAATCATTATTTAATGCGACCAATTGATATGTCCGGTCTAAGGCTAAAGCGTCTCCCTGAGTCTTACGTTGGCATGAATACGAGTTTTTCCTTCATTGCTGCGGATTCGAAATTATGTCAGTTTCTAATTTCTCTTTGACACTTTTTTACGGTTTCGCCATTAAAATGGCATAAATTTCACGCCTTCAAATTACTGTAATGTAATGTATGTATGTATGTATGTATGTATTTATGTATGTGAGAGTGTAAACGTAAGCGATTTGTTCATTATTTTTTATTTTTTTTATTTTTTTTCCATATATTTTTGGGTAAGGCGTTCAGCACGCGAAGACATCAACATTTTTTATGGCCGCTTTAATGCTCTTTTGGGTTTCTCATCTTAACACCTGTTCCATTTCAGTTTGCTATTTGATATTTTATGACCCATTAAATATGTATTTTCCAAAAGCCGAGTTTAATTCCAATTTACTGTTATAATTTCTCAATAAGCATTCAAATATTAAAGTAAAAATATTTGCTTTCTTTGATTTCATTGCTTTATATATAAAAATAATAATATTTTGTTGGCAGCTTAAGCTATTTTCGGCCGTCTTGATGTTTTTTTTTCCAAACTAATGGATTTTTATGATGATCTTTTATTTCAAGTCAGAAATAATGCCGAGGGGCGATCGCAATTAGAAAATTAAACTTAATTTTTTATTAAAATTACATTTTTATATTTTTTGTATGTTGGGCGGACCAGGACTCGAACCCTGACCCCCTATATAATTTGTTTTATCTTTTGGTATAGCAAACGACTGCCTTTTTTAAATTTATTTCATTTTATTCTATTAACTCTATTTTCATTTTAGTTTATTCCCTTTAAATTTTTTATTTTATTTAATATTATTTTATTTTGATTTTGTTTTTTCGTATGTTTTTATTTAACTTTGCTTAATTTATTTTATTTTATTATACTTTGTATTTATTTATCTTTTTATATAATATAAGATCATTAATTTTCATTTTATTTTATTTTATTTTATTTTATTTTATTTTATTTTATTTTATTTCATTTCATTTCATTTCATTTCATTTCATTTCATTTCATTTCATTTCATTTCATTTCATTTCATTTCATTTTATTTTATTTTATTTTATTTTATTTTATTTTATTTTATTTTATTTTATTTTATTTTATTTTATTTTATTTTATTTTATTTTATTTTATATTATTACCATATATTTTTGGAAATAGTGAAACAATTACAACAACAGTTTTGAGCGGCAGTTGTTATAACTGCTATTTCGGTGACCACCACGTTTCCTTATCAGACTTCTTTCTTCAGACACTTTCTACTTTTTTTTTAATTCTTAACATTGTACAGAATTTTATTTTATTATTTATTAATTAAATATATGTTTTAAATCTAATTTTGTTTAATTAACATATTTACTTTACTATCGTTATTATTTTTTTTTATTTTCGTCGTATCATTTTTTCATTTTTAATTTTTTCATTTTCCTCATATCAAATTAAGTCTCTGGTTATAGTATCCTTATAGACTAGAATATTCAAATTTACAGAATGGTAATACTTATAGAATAAAAAAATGGGAAAACTAAGAATAATAGGAATTTAATTTACACTGAAAAACATTTTATGACGAAGTCTGGATCAAAAGTTTTTTAGACTACATCAACTTAGTAAAAGGACAAGAAAAGGGGGCTATGTTCTAATCATTTGCTATTTGGAACGTATATTTTTTCGCGAAATATTGAAGTTAATCAGGTTAGTTCTTTGCAGTCAATGAAACCTCAGATATGGTCCAAAATAAACATAGACTTCAACCTGCTAGAAGTTAGATTATTAAGTTCTTTAAGATTTCTTGTGTATCACGGTAATTTATGAGCCCGAGCAGGAAGATGAGGGAGGTATTTGCTTATGCAAAATTTCGTATAAATTGAAAACAAAAATTTCAAAGCACTGAGAAGCATTCTTATTACTAAATATTAAACTGTAATCTACAATAGTTTTTTGCCAATCACATTGAAACAAAGGATTTATTGGTACTAGATTCATACTAAAATGGGAATCTAGAAAATTAATATCCTTGATGCTATTTACATTAGTTGCAGTAAGAACCCCATTATTTATTAAGTTAAACCATGTAATTTTATTGAGATTAAAATCACCTAAAATACAAAAATTACAAACCGTTTTAACCTTAAATTTTGCTGTGTCCTCTCTTGGAAGAAACCACATTGTGATCAGTTATTTTGTTGTAATTTTTTTTATTTAATGTTTTAATTTGATTTAAATTACTTAAATATAATTGAATTTGATTTTATTTTAATTATATTATTTTTTCTTATTTTATTTTTATTTTTATTTTAATTTATTATTTTAATTATATTATTTATCATACTTATTTTAGTTATATTATTTTTGTTTTTCTACGTTATTTTCCATTTACCTTTTTATATTATTAAATTTTACTTATATTATTTATAAATATATTTGATTTAAAATAACTGAATATTTTTATTGTAATATATTATTTTATATTAAATTGATCTTCTTTACTCTGTTTTACTTTATTATACTTCCTTGTATTCAGCTGATATTCAGCTATTTCCTGACATTTCAAAATTCCGAGAAATCCATTTTGAAAATTTTATACTTTTTTTACGTTTTATTCTTTAAATACTTACAACTTCGGGTTGTTCACATCTTTATTACAGACATTTTGAGGTTTTTCAAGAAAACCGTTACCCAACGTCGACAATAAATTTGTAAAATTTTTTATGTAAATTTTATTGCAAATTCAATAAATAAAATATTTATTAAACCTACCGCTATTGCATCCATTACAGCATTCACCATTCTGATGTTTATTCTTCTTGTTTAGCAGGATTGTTGTTGTTGTTGCTTTTTGTATGTTGTTGTAATTTTTTGCTAAAGTTGTTGTGATTGGAATGACACACACTTTTTTATTATATTTCTCAATTTTGTTTAGTGTTGACATTTAATTTGTGGAAAACACACACAAGCACACCTAACTACATAGCACAACCAACTTACTTGTTTAACGGTAACCAAACGTGCCACAAGTAGTCGATACTTTGGCCTGTTGGCCCCCATACATTGGCGGCAAAACAGAACACATACGTACATACAAAACTTATTTACGAATTTTGCCTGTATGTATGTCTTATTGAAACACCGTTACAAACGTAGTGGGTTGTGTTAGCCAAATTAATCCGTGCAAATACGCTAAGCAAATTTGATTTCTTGTTGTTGTTGTATGATCGTTGTTGCCTTCCAAAGCATCAAGTGATTAACGCTTGACCACCACTTGTGGCTGTTGATGGTTGTTGGTATTTTCTTGTTGGTCAATATAGCTTGATCATATTTTTGTTGGTATGTGTTGGCGTGTATTAAACTAGGTGAATTGGTTGATGGCTGATTCGTCGCGGTTGGTGAGCTGCAGAGTTTGTTAGCTAGACATTTGTGCACACATTCATACGTGTATGTATATACTTAGTTATGTACATGTGTATGTATGATATATAGATATAAATGTACATTTATTATTGCTTTTGTTTTTGTACACTTTGGATCACTCGAATATTGGTCATTTGTTGGTTTTGATGGTTGCTGCAAATTGATTTCGTTGCTGGCGAAAAAAAGATGAGGAAAACAACAAAAAAAAACGACAAAATCAAATACTAGCTGCCGGTGAAAGGTGATGAGCACTTACATATGTGGCTAAGTACATATGCATGTGCATACGAGCTTATGATTTTAACGAAATTTACATTTTTTCTTTGAATGTCTCATTTTATTTTAATTTTTATCTTGTTTTATTTGTGTGTCGTTTTTTAAATTATGATTAAAATTTTAATTTGCTTGAAGGTACATACATATTTATGTATGTAAATGTGTATTATTACTTTCATGGATTTCGGATCGGCTGTTTTTGTGCTTCGTCGTTTTTTTATTCGGATTAAAACTTTTGTCGCTTCTTAGTATTATTTTTCGTCACATCATATTTTTCACTTTCATTTTATTGCTCACACTCAACTAAAATTTTTATTTTTTTTATATGATTTTTAATTTCATTTTTCCCCATAATTTAAATGATATTTCGCATATAAATAAATGCAAAAAGAATAAATTTGTTTCCATCACTTTACCATATTCTCAATTTGTTACTGTAATTAAATATAAAACAGCCTAAATAAAAACCGAGTTTTCCTACGAGGTGTTAAGAACTATTCCAACGACTGCACACGAAAAGTTACTCGACACACTGCCAACTGATATAGGAACGAAAACTCGCTGCAAGGGAAGAGAATGCTGAATATATCAAATTTCTCAGCACTTTATCTGGGAAATAAGGCTTCAAAGGCTGAAAAATTGCCTCCTGGGTGAGTGCCGGAACTTTTGCTCGAAGCTGGGCTTCCGACAGCCCTTCAAACTACCGGATTACAGCGGTATTTTTCAATCGGAATATAAATAAGCTAACTAATACCGAAGACAATTGCAATAGAAACAAAATTTACTAAAAACGCCTATGAATGTTATGAAAATTACACCAAGTATTATATTTCCTCGCTCTCTAAAGAAGGGTAGGTTAATGAGTTTCGGATGACTAGTATAAGAACGAAGATTATGCCAACGGTCCCAAAGCAAATTTCCTAAAGCGAAAAAGAAGATAATGTTGTTGAGTATATTCAATGCTATCAGAGTATATTTGATACTTCTGGTTCCAAATTATCAAGTTCATGTCACGAGTCATGTTCTAGAACAGGCCATATTTATGTTGTGAGCAAAACTGGGGAATTTAAGGATTCGTGCATTTCTCTATTACAGTTTTAGAAATGCCAGGAAACCTTCGACTGTGCTAACTGCAACACCAAAGTGAAGGGAGGAGTTTCAGTTAGGTTCCATAAAACATGGTGAACGTGTTCCAAATTATAGTTTCCGGCTGTCTAAGAATTTATATGTATGATTCTTCGGGAGAAACACACAACTTTATATTAGTAAGACGTCTTCATTTAGCGAAGTGTAAGAAGTCTAAGTCAGATTTACTCTCGACGAACAAAAACATATATTCAGCAAATTGTTCAATGTCAGCCTAGAAATCCCAGTAAGAATCACTCTCGACGAACGAAAACCAAGCTCTACAAGTCTCTCAGCATTCTTTTGCAATGACAAAATTTGATGAGACGGCGCTTGGAGTTTTCAAAAGAATGGTCTTATGGAAGATTTATGCATTGGGATTGGCCGTAGATGTTGGAATACGAGCTGTATGAGAATAAGTGGCAGCGGCTACGTTAGCTAGAGGTTAGATGTCGTCCAAATGGAACCCTCAGCGGCAGCAGTGGAGGAAGAAACCCCTAATTATACTGCAAAGATCAGGTGAAGCAGAATTCGGCTTTATTTGGTATCCCTATGCGGTGCTGAACGACCATGCGAAGATACAAAATAACAAGCAGAGTCAATACGGTGACCGTGCCAACCACCATAATCAATATGATCCTGAATTAATAATCTGAAAGTATTAACTCCAATAAAGTTAGAGCAGAAATATCAGAATGGAGCCTTATTTCGGCAGTAACGCCCCGAATATTAATTTTCAAGGCCTTAATGAGCTTCGGCTTATTACGTTGTCAAGGGTCTTCATACAACCGTACAAAAAATAGTACAGCTGTATTAAAACCCTAAAGGCTTGAGGCCACCTCACAGGCTAACAACACACGTAGAGCTACCTAGTTGAAAAAAGTGGTTCATATCAACATTCTCACTAAAAAGTCATTAATCAGGACTCTATAGCACTTCCCATTGATATTATGGTCGGCTAGCACACCTAACATTGATATTTTCATGATGTAACGGATTCTCACCAATGACTTGATTATAGGTGAGCTTTATCGCTGAACAAAGATTTCTTGTGAAAATCAGGATCGAGCATATCAGAGCCTGATAAATGAACAGTAAACTCAGAGCTTCTTTGAGCGTACCGGATTCTATCAGAGAACAGCTAATTGCATTAAGCATAGTGTGCTCGGACGGTGCGAATGTAACGTGAAAGAGAGCAACATTCGTGTATCCACCACTAACCTGCGATTGACTATACTCTCAAGTCCGCGGTGGCCGAGTTGCTAGCATTGCACACTGACATTCGCAAGGCTCGGGTTCAAATCCCGGTGCCACCAACATCAAAAAGTTATAAAAAATTAATCTAAATAAAAAATTAAGTTAAATTTTCTAATTGCGGTCGCCCCTCGGCAGGGAATGTCCACCCCTCTGAGTGTATTTCGAACATTAAATATGAAATAAAAGCTCCTCGTAAAAAAAACATCAGCCGTTCGGAAGCGTCTTAGTATAAACTATAGGTATTTCCAGTTGTTGGAAAAACATCAATACGCAAAATTACAAATTGGAAGAGGAGCTCGGCCGGAAACACGCTTCAGCCGTTCAAAGCGCCAATTGCATATATAATATATATATACTCTCAAGAAATACTAGAAAAGTAATATACTTTGGCGCTGAATATGTTTCAATTTAAGACGCCTTAAAGCCGTAAAATTGCTAAGAAGAAAATAAAAGAGTATCTCCCCTGCAATACTTAGAAAATACTTATTAAAAACTAAAGGAAATATTGAATATTAGCCGTTATTATTAGTAAAATTCAAAAAGAAAAATCATTAAATCGTTAAAATGATCAAAAATTAGTTCATATTAAAAGAAAATTCACATTGACGTTTTCAACAGTCTACACGTACATATGTCTGTCCCATGCAACAGCAAATTTAACCCAAAATTTTCAAACATTTTTAACAATGAATTGAGCTGTAAAAAAATTTTATCTCTAAAAGAAGGTGTGTAAAATGGCATTAAATATTAACAAAAAAAAGATTTAAATATATTTACATTTTTGTGTTTAAATGCGCGTCCCTGACATAATGTTTTAGTTTATTTTTATTTTATTGCTTTTTTCTACTTCTCGTCGAGCGCATGCACCGTAACCTGTTCCGGCGATAATGGCATGCGTAAAGTGCTCGAGTATATTAAAAAATAACAACAATAAAAATTGCCAAACAAATAAGAAAAACTAAATAAAATAAATAAATAACAAACAAAAACATTACAACAAAAGCAGTAACAAACTAATTTAGCATTCAGTGTTTTTGTACATTTTTTTCGTTTTTTGATTATTTTTGTTTTTATTTTTTTTTTTTTTTTCAGCGTAAACTATCGTAATTAGATATGTCGGTTTTATTGTTGGGAACTTTTAGTTTGACTTTATTATTTTCGATTAATTTTTTTTGGTTTTCGATTTTCTACGACTGTTTTGTTTATTTATATTGTATGTACCTATTGTTTGTTTATTTTGTGTTTTTTATTATATTTTTTGGTACGCTTCGTGGGCAGTTAACTTGTTGCTTACTCGAGCGCGTAAATTCTTTTGATCGTTGGAGGGTTGAGCAAGAATTTAAAATTAGCCAAATTATTTGCAGTGAATGAGCTGGTGAATATTTTTGTTGGTGTTTTTTGTTATGTATTTGGTTTCTCTTTTTTTTTTGCATTTATTCATTAATTTTTTTATTTTTTAATTATTCACTAAATTTCATTTTTTATTTTTTATAAACTTTTATTTTATTTGAATATATTTTTTCCGCTTTTTTCTTTAGCTTTTTATATTTTAATTATTTATTTATTTTTAATTTTTCGTTTTCGAAAATATTTTTTTTTGTTTAACGCTTTTTTCTTCATTTTTTTTTTTTAGTTATTTTATTTTAATAATTTTTTTTTATATATAATATACAGATTACTTGCTTATAATCTTTAATTGATAATACTACATTTTTATTTATGTATAATTATTTTTTGTTTCAAGCATTTTAGTTTTCATTTTATTTTTAGATATTTGATTTATAAATTATAAATTTATAAACAAACGAGAACTTATTTATTAAAATATAAAAATTTAAGCAATAAACAATAAACAAAGCTTAAATTTTTATTTTTTAATAAATAAGTTTTCGTTTGTGTTTAAATTTATAATTTTTTGACTTTCGTTGCTTTTTAGTTTTTTTAAGATTCATATACGTTTATTTTTGGTTTTTCATATTTTCTCTTTTTATTTTCAATATTTTAATATAGAAATTTATACCATTTTATTAAAATTTTTTTCTTTTGAATTTTTGCTTTATATTAAAGATTTTATTTTTTATTATTTAATTCGTATTTATTTTATTACTTTTCTAATTTTTATGCTTGAACCTTTAAATTTTCATTAAGTTTTTTGTAATTAGAAAAATAATTTTTCTATAATTTTGGGTGTTTGTCTGACCAGGACTCGAAAATCTGTGTTTTATTTTATTTTTATTACACTTTTACTTTTCTGACTTTTTTTGTTGCTATTTTTCATAAATTTATTACTTTATAATTTTTTATCTCATTTCTTTCTTTATTTTCACATTTGTTTACCTTTATATATTTGGCTAAATATATATTATTTATTTTTAATTTTTTTTTTTTAATTTCTACTTGGATTTTCTTTCGCATTTTATTTTTTTTTTTTATTAATTTTATATTAATTCAAATTTTTAATTTTTTTTTTTATTTCTATAATATATATTTTTTGCTTTACTTTCCGATACTTTT